AATGTACAAATGCAATAAAAATATTGGTATCGGTACTCGGTATCGGCAAGTACCAAAAATAAAAGTATCGGTATCAGGTGAGTACTGGAAAAAGTGGTATCGGTGCATCCCTAATAATAATAATAATAATAATATCTTATCAGTATTATTGTTAATTTTTTAGTGCTGGAAAATAATGGTGGGTGCACAAAATATTGACACTTTGGGCCCAATTTGGACATTTTCACTTAGGGGTGTACTCACTTTTGTGGCCAGCGGTTTAGACATTAATGGCTGTGTGTTGAGTTATTTTGAGGGGACAGCACATTTACACTGTTATACAAGCTGTACACTCACTATTTTACATTGTAGCAAAGTGTCATTTCTTCAGTGTTGTCACCTGAAAAGATATAATAAAATATTTACAAAAATGTGAGGGGTGTACTCACTTTTGTGAGATACTGTATATAAAAACCAATTGTCCTCAGAAGAAATGTTCCCAGCTGTTTCGGCAGAGGAGCTAAAACCGATCATTTTGGGTTTAGCAGTTTCTCAGACCCACTCAATTATGGGGGATGCGTTGTGGTACAGCTGGTGCCAGGTAAACGCTTGTTTTCACAAAGGTGCATCATTTACTGGAATTTCCAGTGTCCCAGAAATGTCAGCGGTGGTGATTGTGCTTGTATCCCAGTCAACAATTTAAAGAAAAGCCTTACATTTTTGCAAAATGCATCAAAATGATTTACTTTTTTCCTTGTGAGGTGTATGCACTCTATGCACACTAAGTGGTCAGTTAAGCTTCGGTTCAAATAATAAAGGACTGACTGTAGATGGTTTGCACTATTGTCTCTTCTTCTGTATCATGTTGCTGTTTTTGGTTATTCACCAAGTACCAAGGACACAAGTGATATTTATCGATTCATCTGAGTATCCTGCCTCTATCCTTCCCCCTGTCTCCCTACCTCCAATTTGATCTTCCACTCAAGTGATGCAAAAGCAGCTTACTTATCAGTTTACGTCATC